ACTGACTCCAGAACCGGGGCTAATCTGTTAAATCCCCTCTAAACTTTATAATGACCAGCTTAGGAAGTTTAGCTGTCTTCACGGCTTGAGTCGAGGTCGGTTCCGTGGTCTTCGCTTGTTTTGTCTCCTCGATTTTCTTCTCATATGTTAACCTCATCTCCAGTTGTGTACGTTCAAACGCAAGCTGCTTTTGTCGATCTCGCTCTGCCAGCTCCTCTTCGCTTTCCTTCGCTTGCATCCTTGTCTTATAATTCATTTGAACGAGTCTTTCCGATAAATGCGTGATCTCCTCGTCAGCAGTTTCTTGTTGTGCTTCAACTGCGGCGCTCCATTTTGTTAGCTCGTCGACCTGAACGCCACTTTCCAGTTTCGCTTGCTCGATTTTTGTTTTTACACTTTTGACCTTTTTCACGACTGCTCGCAGAGCATCCCGATGCCGTTCTATTCCTTCCCTGTTCGCTTTCTCGACGATTGCTTTGGTCTTCCCTTGGGTAAACTTGAGTAGCTTTAGTTGCACATCCAACTCCGAGGTCAACGCCTCCATCGTTGTGTTGTTTGAGCTTCTTGGCTGATTCTCTTGTTTTGTTTCGTTGTTTCTCGCTCAGTCCCGTCGGAGGTGCCACTTTGTATTGGGAATTAGATAATTGCCTGATAACACAATGTCTTTCCCGATAAACTCGCGCTAAAATCACTCACTCACGATAGAATTTTAAACAGATATATTTGTGTCTCACGATGTCCCGATTACGATTACAACACACTCTTCGATTTCTAGAACAAAGGATACAGCAAATTGTACAATGTGTTCTTTGATTAGCTTAAGTTACTAGCGATGACAGATTCAATGCCTATCCCTTTCCGGTCAACTAAACAATTCTATACGCATTAAAATGTTTTGATTACGTAAACACACGATTTCCGACAATCAGAGCTATAAAGTCGGTGAAGAAAATTGTCATCTAATCAATTCATCTAACAACTTAAGGGCAATCTTCAGGCTCTACATGTACATCACTGGACTTGGCATAGCCAAAAAGCCAAGAAACATTGCTGAGAAATATATTGTGACTTTGTAAGTTTCTTGCTAGCAAGAAAGGTTATGTTGTAGGACATTATGTTCTTAAGTAGGGAAAATGGTCATAACTATTGTGTATAGGAAGGTCCTCAATTGAAAAAAAACCCAGGTGGCTCTTGTTGTCATCCCCATCCAGCAATACACTTCTTGAATATCTTCACAAAAGTAAATACTGGGAAAGAGCACAACCTCCCCTTGTTGTTTTACTAGCGCACTGAATCATTCTCAATTCAATTTTTTTTTCATTTAGCCCCTATCCCCTTTATTCCTGACTTCCCATAAAGGCTACATATTAAAGAGGCCAGTGATGCCATTAGTCCTGTTGTTGTTGGTCCCCTTGTGGTCCAAGCATTTTTGAGCATTGACAAGTAACATTGGAATTTCTTGCTTTGTAGCTACTTCATGCAGGATTTGGCCAAGGGAATAAACATCACTGGCTTTGCTACAATGGGTGCCATTCAGAACTTCAGCAGCAATGTGCCTATAGTGAAAAGTGTACTTCTTTGCAGGGGGAAATGAACTGTCACAGGCCTTTCGAAAGTCTATAATTTGGCCATGTTTATCAGTTACAAGAACATTGTTTGATTTGAGACCACAATGAAGAAAGCCTTTGGAGTGAATGTGAGCGAGAGCATCTGTGATATCATGACAAATGATCAGCCAGTCTTTGCTTGTCAGTGAACTGTTAACTTTCTCTAATATACCATTGGATTATTTGCAATACAATGGTTTACTGACTGTTGTGGATGTATTTTCTTCCCCTTGGAACTCCTTCACTAGAGATATAGGCTCTCTTTCAAGCTGGATTCCTATTATTGCAGGAATGTTTTTGTGTGTGAGAGTCTACATGATTTGTGCCTCCTTTACCATCTCTTTAGTGCTTTGCATCAGACATTGTTTTTCTACCACAAGAACGTTTAATCTTTTGAAAGATTTTAAAATGCACCGGCCATATGAACCCTGTCCTAGTATTAATTCCTTTTCACTGATTGGTTGAAGCTCAATGGATCAATTAAATTAACAGTGGCAAATTTGCAACTGGGTGGTCCTGATTTTGTATTCCTGTCTCTGGAATAAAGTAATAAACAGAGGAAAAGTGAAGCTGGTCAGCTTAATAAGATTCACATGCTAGATTGTGTAATAAGTGGTAATAGGACTGAGTAGTCTTTGGTCTGTAATCATATGAGTGATAACAAAATCAGACGACTGCACAGTGGGAGTACAATTTGTTTATCACGAGTGTGATTACAGACCGAAACGAATGACACAAAGTCCTTTTACCAATTAATCATAAAAATTACAATTTCCAAATTAAAAAGAACACTTAAATATTGTCATTGCTCAAGGGAAACCAATTCTCCGTTTTGAAGAAAGCCTCAATTTAGGAATCTTTACACTGTTTCTATGGTGATTGAAACCAAGGTTGTGATTGATTGATTTAAACCA